TAAATTTAAATTAAGAAATCAAACATCAATTGTATTCCAATATATAATATAAAAAATATACATATTTTTTCCCTTTGACTCGTTTTTATAAAGAACCTTAAGAAACCTTAGCATGTCGTTAGTAGATACTAGGTACGACATACTAAAGTTTCTTATGTGACAGAGATCGTACAAGTATGTGGTGATGTAACATATGTAATTTATGTAAACATTCGAAGTTTAGAATAGTGAAAACTGTATAAATAAGAGTTGTATTGTCTAGAAAGAAGAGAAACCGATTAAAATTACAACTTTAGTATATAAAGATGTTATTTTAATCCGTTTATAGACATAAGTATTGATATTATACATATATTCTAAACTTCCTGCAATGTATGAAGTCCAATGCACTGGCGAATTGTCAGTTCCGCGCATATGCGCCAGTATCGGCATGTCATGCACACTCTTTCCCTGACAATTTCAACAAACAACAACTTGCTCCTAATTGTGTTTGCAATTCCTTTAGAAAGCTCTTTTGACTCCACTCCAATTGTGAAAACTCGTTTTGAAACGACGTTAAATACGACCAAATTTCAGATAATTAACTCAGATTACGGTCTTTCAGCGTATAATTCGCTTTTGTTGCAGAAAATTTGAAGAAAAGCTAATGTTGACACAATATTATTGTAATACGAGTAGGTACAATACCGCTCATACATACATAATTCAGCATTGGATTTATATTTTGAGTTCCAATAAAACCTATCTATACACCTCAATATAGCTATAATAAATTTTATATTATTCGATAAAGTACTTAATCTGTAATGGATTTCGTCTAATAAAATTAAGTTAATTATAACTATGCCTATAAAGGCATCATATCTTTCTGGAATGGCAGCGCAAGAGTAGCATATCTCATTATATATGTGTCTACAAGCGATGATTACCGCTTACATCTTACGCATCAGATGAGCCATTAGATTCTATGTCGTTTCGATATCTGACTAGCCTATTTCCACTGTAACTATTTAGAGAACTAATTTATTAACAACATGATTATATTATTCATACACAAGTTACGTTTATATTATATTTAAATAACTGGTGTGACCAACAAGTTACTTGCTATTTATTACTGCTACTTATTCATTTGACAGTAACCGTCGCCCATATAAATATATGAGTGGATGTGACGTTATACTCCCGTTATGTCAATGTATGACTGAGGTACCCACATGGACGAATTTATTACTTGTATTTCGTGGTAAAGTAGGAGACACGGTGCTGTAATACGGAGACATTAATCTCAACTTTAGTTCTCAGGAATCTCCAATGCTGTATTGTTTATAGGAAATTCTTCGCGTATTGTCACTTTCCTTCAAGTGGACACTCAGCGTTTGATATTCCAGTTACATAGAAATATATGAATTTATGCAGCCAATTAATTTTGAACTACAACGAACTGAATATTATGGAACAATAATTCGGCTATCATGCGTATATATTCATTTCAATATGGAATAAGTTAAAGCCGATGCAAATTCGTGAAAAGCTATTATAATCTGGAACGCACACCGGTGGACGCTCTTTTCATTGAATGCCTTTTGTTGGTGGATTCAATTAAGTTTACACCGACACCGAGGTCAGTTAATAAAAACCGAAGCCTACAAAAATTGATGCGTAAATCAAAGTCAATAAACTGCAGCACAATGGAGCGGGAAAGCGCATCTGAAACGATGTCATCAAACAAACAATGAAACGAATAGTATTCAATCATATTATAGTACTATGTATATTTATTGCATTAATAATTAAGAACAAAAAAATTAAAATCCTAACTACTAGTTTTTTTACATATGAGTAGGATTAAGTTAATATTAGTATATTAGTATCATCTACTTCTACTTCATTGTCTACTTTTACCCTTAGTAATTCAGTTTAATTAGATATCATGCGACTTACTCCATACTTCATATTTAGTATAGGTCTAAATCTAATTTATGCATATAATGCATACTTTATATATGTAAAGATCTATACGTACCTAGTACCGATGAGATGGTCTTTTCAATTTAAATATTCCTTTTGATTATAGTAACCAATTATTTTTTGTAAATAAAATTAATTTAATTGAAAAAAATAATATATATGTTCACAACAGTAACAATAATAACAAAACAAAAAGCACATTGTAATCTATTCGAAATAGAGTTATTTCATTAATACCCTCGAGATTTGCACATGTAATAAATATTGTACCTACTGATTGTGCACAATCACCCTTTTACATTAAAATTCTCGTCTACCTTCCCACGTCTCCGAATTAATCGTCCGAGAGCCGCTCTCTATTAAAGTTTGCGAAAGTTGTTTAAGAGGCTCAACTCCCTTAAAAGTCTGCAGATAATGTTAAACATTCATTCGAGTGCCAACTCCGCGCAACTTTCAAATCGTCGAATAAATCTTCTAATTCTTCAAGCGTTTAATATTCATATCAAGGTCCGCCCGCGTCGTGCCACCGTACGGCAATGCCCGCCAAAACTTGTCTACGAACGATAGACATTGGAATACATAGATACAACTGTTTTTATATAAGTACAAATTTTATTTCTGTAGACTTAGTCGTAATTGATTTAGTAAGTCGCAAGTCAATGATAGTACTCACTTTCATGAAGCAGTTTAGAATCAATATACATATATACAAAATTTTGTTTATTTTTCGATAAAAATAAAAAAATCTAAATTGGTTCATATAATATCTATTTATAATATACGTATAAATATATATATATATATATATATATATATATATGTATTATAAATCTATATAAAAAACAGCCTATAAGAGCATCTTGCTTATTTAAATCGATTGAAGTTGTTTCATTTGAATACACATTATGCTATGAATGCATTAACATTTCACTCTTTTGTTCTTAGAAACACATCCTGAAGCAGCGAATGTTCATATTAGGGGTACGATAAAATAAAATTTGAATGGCATCTCGGCTCCATTACCATTCCAGGACGATAGGCCCCTTGGGGCTCACGGGAGTGGGACGACAACGAGTCTCAGCAACATTGACTTCAAGTTTGCTAACTTTTATCTAATATCACTTGGAATACGTCTTTTCTTTCTTCAGGACTTGCAATCAGTCCCGATTTAGAACACACGACTTACAAGTAGTAGAACATCATATTATGAAACTAAATCTTTGTCAGGAGTTAATCCGTTGATAGATGAAAACCTCATGCAAATCCATTGCATAGTTTTTGAGATTATCGTTAGTTTTATTCACTATACGAATCTTTGTTTTGTAATAAGTACACATATGTAGGTGTGTATTCAAGGACTGTGTATTTACTATTTGGGATCAATATTAAATTATTCATTTTTTTTGGTTTGTATAAAGATAGCTATAGGTACAGACCAGTAAACTTCACTGAACGCTCAACTAAACGTTTACGACGTCGATAAAGGTTTCAAACTAGATTATGGCACTGAGCACCTATTCAGATTGGATGTAAAACGGTGTTGCAGTCATACAATATTGCAAATTGTCTTCGTATTTTTAATATAATAGTAATTAGTAATATATTCTTACATTGAAATATTGTAATTTTTACTTTTTTATCTATAGTATATTCTAGTTTTATAATAATATTTTATTTATTTATCTTTTCAATTGTTTTTGTCTATTTCGTTCTTTTCAAAGAGTTAAAATAAGTGTACTTCTGTATAATTAAAATTTTCTAATAACAATAATTATATCTATATACTTAATATAATATCAATATACTTGAAAATAATTGGTAACAGCTTAAGTATAATAGTTTTATGGGTATAATGAAATTTATGAATTATTTTGATTGATTCAACTATTAACATAAACGTATATAAAATTATGAATAAAAAATCTATTTAAAACTCAGTCATCAAATATTTGAATTCATTGAGTGAAGCAAGACTACTTATAGGAAGTGTAAAGCAATTGCAGGAAGCCGCCAAAACACGTAGCTCGTTCATTCAAGTCGTTATACTGCCACCAACATATTTAGAGACCTGCAGTCCCCAGCATCGCGTACAGAATAAGAGGTTTAAAATGAAATAAGAAGCACGAGTAGAGATCTCGATAGTTTGGACGTGTTATAACCGTCTGAGCAAGTCGTTCTGACGTCGCCACATCAGCGGTTCGGGTACAATCTTTCCACTCATTTGTGGGTTATACTCGTATCACGATGTTAGTGTTCTTTCAAATGGCGCTGAGAACTAATCGTAAAGTTTACTTAGTTACAACTATTACTTAATGTACCCTTTGATTTTATAAATACGAGTAAGTATGTTACAATGTGACGCATAAATATATCACAATATACATAAAACATTATTAAAATCAGTTTTCTAAAACGCGAGGAGTTAAAATAGAATATAATTTACTTTAATGTTTTATGCATTGTACCTACATAGAAACTCTGAAAAATCGCAAAGCTCGAGTAAACGCGACCGCCCAAGTCATGTTGCTGTCCACAGTTTAAAATAAACGGCCCTTTTTGTATTCTTGGAATATTTTTTAATCAGAATAAAATACTAAGTTATTTGTTCTCAGGTGACCCAATAAATGCATTATTTGTTTTCCAGGCTCAAATTATCATTACCTTGTAAGAAAATCTATAAAACACGAAATAGAATGAGTTTGCCTAAATTGGCAAACTCATTCTTTTTCCTTTATTGAGTATAATACATCTTAGCTCGGATGCGATTCTGATTAATGCCTTAAACTCGAGTCCCTGCAACTTTGTTAGAGATAGCGGTGAAAAATAAAGGGACGTGACTCGACTAATTCGCTTTTTACGACAACGGGAGGTAAAAGAGTAATGGCAGTTTAAAAATTCCTATGATTTAAAGAGGCTGACATATTTTTTCATTCATAATTCTACCTCTCAAGTTATCTTCAGTTTGGCAATTTGCTAAAAAATAAAAACTGTCTATCATTCTTCTTTTAAAATTTTTGACCGTTAGAAAAGTTGGTACGTTAAATGTCAGCATATTATTTTCTAGATAATTCTATGATTTTTCATAAAAATATGATAATTAGGATTTTTCTTTCGTTATTTTGTGGTGAGTTTAATTTATATTTAAACATCTTCTGTATTTAATTGCAACCGGTATTCGGTATTATAATAATTTGTTCATTGCTTTCAGTCTTTTTTATAGCTAAGGCCGATGATGAAATTGAGATCAAGAGAGGAATTTTCCCTTTTATGGTGAGTATTTAGAATCCACAGATTGCAGTCATTAAAAACGCTCGACATTTCATAAAAAGTAGTTAGTTGGTTCCAGGAAAATATTTTAATAGAAGTGTGTGTGTAAAATATATTTTATCCAACATAATATTGAATAATATTTAATTTTCGACATTCTCTAATATAATATGGATAACATTAAGTACATTGCAGTTTTGACATTTCTTTTTCTCGTCTTGACATAAAAAATATACGAAGTATTCGCAAACGTTGGATTTTAATTGTTTCTGTAGTTATTGTCACTTTTCCCATGTACTGAATTTCTGAAATTCGTTCGTTTGTTAATTTATAACATACCTTCACATTATTTTCTCTTCAGGCTTATATTTACTATCCAGATGAGACTGTACTTGATCCATCCGGTAACCGATTTCTTCGAGGTGCAGTGCTAATCAAACCTGACTGGCTAGTTACTTCAGGAGTTTCCCTCAATAGCGACAGCAGGGAGTTTGTCGGATTCCCGAACAAGACCATGATTGCCAGACTTGGAGCCGTCACTATTGATTCGAAGTTTACACTGAACGAGGATGAGTATGAACAGGAACGGGAGGTGTGTATGGAACATTATATCGATCTGAATACAATTTTATATGTAGCAAGGTTGACTTTGTGTAAATTCGTCTACGTGTGTACCACTGTCTCACCTACATCAACTCCCAAGCAACTTATTTTGTATGCTGTGTTTCATTATTGTTTGTTTATTTGGCGGCATCGCATGAGCGGTATCATGTACATAATGTGCTATTCATATAGATAGTTGTTTTTCTTAAGGTAACTACCATAAAGTAACCCAAAAAAAATCTGACTGCTCAATTCATGTGTCCACCACAGTTGCATAAAAGAATTATGGTACGTTCACAATAAAGTCAATTTTAATATTTTGCATTTTGCGTTGTTTACATACTGCTCTTTTATTCATGAAAATAAAAATATCTTGAGAATATGCTGTCACTTTCTATTGAATTGTGACAATGTTACCAACGAAAAATGGACAAACTAGTCCAAGACGTAAAAGAGGTATTACATTTTTGATGTATAGAGTACTAGTGTACCCGCGACTTCGTCCGCGTAAAATAGTGACCTTGAGCAAATAATAAAAAATATATATTAATAATCTAACCCAATAAAAAAGTTTCATCGTTCTAGCTTCAAAAATGAAATTTCCATACATAATTCCATACAATTCAATCAACAGCCAAAAACTAAGTTTCAAACTACTATCTTTAAAATGAAGATACTTCCATACATACCATACATACATTACATCTCCCCTTTCAACCCCTTATAACCCTTTTTCTTGTTTTTTTTAATGCTACTTATATTAGTGTCATCATGTACCAATGATAAGATGTCGCTATACTGTAACCATTTATGGCTGAGCCCTGTGGCGGTAGGTACTGATATTTTCTCAACAGCCTAAAAAATGGGTTTCAAGTTTCTAGCTTTAAAAAATGACAATACATGCATACAACATTTTAACTCCCCTTTTGACCCTTACAACCCATTTTCGTTAATTATATTTAATCAATACGCAAAAAAATAAGATTGAAGCTTAAACTTTTAAAAAATTCCTCTTTCAGTCTCTTAGAACCCTTTTTAGCATTAAAAAGTAACCTAATGTAACCGATCTCAAGATCTAGACTTTAAATTTCATTTAAATCAGTTCAGAAGTTTTGGCTTTTAAGACAGACAGACAGAGTCACTTTTACTTTCGTAAGGTATTTATTAAATAAACTGACCCAAAAAAGCGTAAGAAAAAAGCTTCATCGTTCTAGCTTCAAATATGACGAATTTCCATAAAAACTTTTATCTGCTATTTTATTTTACCCCTTGAATGGTGACAATGTGATATTTACAAATTTAAATGTCATATTTATTTATATTTAATAAACAGTTTAAACATTTCTTTAAATTCTTTTGAAAATTGGTGGTCCAGTTGGCCAATAACATAATAAAATTTTGTTAAATCAAAATAATAGATGTGATATTCTAAATTGCAAACTATCCCTCTACTTGCGCGAACCATATCTCTGACTCTACTGGCCAGAATGGAGAAACGCGTATTCCGAACCTGAATAGCTCGGATGGAACGGTAGATGTTGTTTCTTCCAAGGAAATGTTGTTCATATGTATTGACAACATTTTTAATATTATATGTTGTTTTATTCTTCAAAATTATTAATAATATGTTCTTACGCTCTTGTCCAAGAGCAGGGTCATCAGTTATAGGCTATACCAGGATTATATTTATGTATTTATAAAATAAAATTGCAGAGCAAACGTTTATTCATTTAAATTCATAAGGAGACAACGGATTGACAATAATCAGTTGCGCGCGCAACGCAACGCATGCGCGCTGCTTATACAAATGACATATATGTTTATTTATTTATGACATATGAGCGTTACTAAGTCGCATATCTAGTACAATACTGGTGTAATTCAGAAAATAAAAATTTTTGAAAATAGACTTAATAACACAATTATAAAGTAGACTTTCCAAAATATCTAATTTTTTAGTTAAGCCATTATTATAATAAGTGTGTATTCAACCGCATAAAGATAACCTTGCATTACCATTTTCAACCCTTTACAACCCTTTTTTCGCATTAAAAAGTAGCCTATGTCCTTCCTCAGCGTCTAGACTATATGGGTACCAAATTTCATTTAAATCAGTTCAGTAGTTTTGGCGTGAAAGCGAGACAGACAGACAGACAGACAGACAGACAGAGTTACTTTCGCATTTATAATATTAGTAAGGATAGTATAAAAACATCAAAAATGTAATAACCTCTTTTAGGTCTTGGACTAGTTTGTCCTTTTTTCCTTGTAAGAACGTAAAATTCAAAATATTAAAATTGACTTTATTGCTGGCTATCACCTATGACTCTGTGTTTTTCGTGATGTCATCCTCATGCTACAACCTATCGTCGTATCATATTTCATTAAAATTCGTTCAGGTATTTTATTCACGATAAAGGTAAAATAAACAGACAGGTATATTTTCGTATTTATAGTGTTTGGAATGGATTTCCAGGTAATACAAATAGTCCGGCCGTATAATCACAGTGCGACACAATGGTGGCGTACCGACATAACCCTTATGAAAACCCTCCTGCCTTTCAACTTCTCTTCTGCTGTGTCTCCTACTAATTTGAACTTTAAACAAATCAATGCTGAGAAAACTTGCATCATATTGATCTATGCGGTAATAAATTATTTATGTAATTTTATGCAACAGCAACTCCACAGATGTAAATTTACTGAAATACCTTAATATTTTCAACTCCTCTTACTGGGTATTATTACAAATCTATAACGATGTATTCAAATATACTACAATAATATAATCGCCTATGGTAGTATATGGTATGGTAGAAACTACAGAATTTTATCCACTTAAAAGGCCATTTTATCATAAAATTCTTATTCCAAAGAATATTATTCTGATCAGTGGAAAAAAATTGAGGTGCCCACGAATATACGATAGTCGTGTCGTTTGTAGATATAGTTCAGTAAACAATTTTTTTGTTTGTTGATACTTAAACGAACGAAAAGTATTTTTTTATTGCAGAATAGAGATGGAAATTGGACTGACGATAGAGTTTTGATGCAACTGCCCGTGGACATACTGCCACCTTCGCTTGAGAACTGTGGAACCCACTTTTCTTCTGCCACCATGACGTGTGCAGCTGCCAGTGATGGCAGCAAGAATACAAACCCGGAATTTTGCCAGGTATGTACATTATAATGTTTCACTTCTGGATAATATCCCACGTACCTATTGCATTATATGTTATCTGAACTGAAATAAATATTAGCAGAATTTTAGTGAAAATAAAATTATAAAAAAATATATTTTATTTACATTCTTTATTTAACAGGGTAATAGTGGCGGGCCTTTGATTTGCGAGAATGGAGTAATGGGTATCCAAACTTACATCGGCAATGCCTGTAAACAACCTTACCTTTATCAGCTTATGTCTGCATGGAAGACCCTAATAACTTGTAGTACAAAAGGGAAATGTGATGAAAAGGAATGTACGGATGTTTGCCTGGTAAATAACAAGGATACTAGTGAGGAGTTGGTAATATCTCCAGAAACAACTTTAATTACTATTTCATCAGAACCGATAGAAGAACAAACCGTCAGTTTAAAAGAGACTGTTTCAACTGTACAGGAACGCTTAATGCCTTTAATTCCGACCAAAACAGCTATGAAAGAAGTAACTACAGTAGAAACGGAAACGCAACCGAGTTCTGAAACTACTATCATAACAACGATGACTGAAGACAGTGAAAAGCAATTATGGCCTAAAGAAAAAAATACAAACCGACGTAAGAATATAAATGAAGAGGACACAGATAAAATAGAAAGAAAACCTAATGTAGAAGCTCAACAGCAGGATGTTCCAAAGAAAGTACGAAGTGCTGCAGTAAGCAATTTTTGTTATTTCCAAACTTTGTTTAGTATTATTATAACGTCTTGTTTCATGTAATCAACTTTGATTTGTGAACTATTTCGTATTAAATTTGTTTTTATTAATTATTTTGTACCTTTATTTTTTTTTAGTATTCATATTAATACTATAATTCAATTTCAGATTTTATTCCAAATTTATTCTCTTTGTATCTAATCTTGATCAGATTATAAATTTACATTGTCTAGTATATACTGTAACATTTATATTATTAAAATGATGTGCACCATACAAGTTCGTATTCCTTAACATTCATATTAAATATTTTCTAAATTCAAATTGAGTCAGATATCTCTGTGGTGAGGTAAAGTATTTCAAGTTAAGTTAGGTGAAACTCAATTTCTTAATTCATCCAACGTCTTATTTTATCATCGTTTTGTCTCTTCGCATATACTACCTACTTACAATATTATATTTCATTATAATATATGCCTCAATGCGGTACCTCTGATGCGATGTAGAAGTTTGGCGAATAAGTAGAATTAAGTAAGGTTGTAACTTTAACGCCTCCGCTGCTTGCTCTAATAGCATTAACAAGTTTCCAGACCGTATTGAAGGAATATTTACTCTTGCACTTACTTAAATACCTCAGTATTTTAGCAGAAAGAGTTCATTAAGTATTGTGACACTTATTTTTCTCATTATTATTATCATTATACCAATGCTTGATATTTCTTTTAATGTTACGATTATCCACTTCACATGCAAAATGTTATCACCTTTTATATGTGTATGTAGTAGTACTGTAGTTTCTGTGATCATTTTCTTCATTACTTTGTGAAATACTTTTTTAATGTATTTCCATTAAAAAGAGATAAAGTATAGTAAGTCAAAAATAGATGATATTCGTATAGTTTTCGAAAACGATAACTCTAGGTACGTATCCTAATGATTATATAGAAAAAACTACCTTAGTCTTCGAGGTATAGGTAATTTTAGTTCAAGTCATACTAAAGCGAAACTGTAATTACCATATCGGGTGGCAGTCTCGAGCGGCTTAATCCTGGGGTGTCCGGGACCGCGCGGTTCGGGACCAGGACAATTTACATTTTCACAAGTCGCGGTTAAGTACACTTAACTTCCAAGTCCACAAGCCTGTTGTAATTTGTTTTGAAGTCTTATAGACTTGTTAAATACACTTTAATGTCCAAAATAGTTTATTCAAACTTCGTTTATAATAAAATAAATAAATGTTAAAGTTAAGGTATTGGTATATTTATTTAATATTACTTGTATAATTATGTAATTATTACCTATCTATTAAACATAGTAAGTACTATTTCATTTCTTAAGTTTTTTTATGTATGTTCAAATATTCATGGTAATATTCAACTTATATGTACGCGGATGAACTTAATGAGTGGAGTGTGTAAGAATGTTTGCTTGTAATTTTGTTTGTTGAGTTGGTAAGAAAGCCTATGTCAATTCTCTTGATATGATGTATCTTCCAGATACAGATTTTATTAACACCAATTTAATCGCTTTGTCCTAAAAAGTTAACAAAAAGACAGATAAACAACCAGATACATTTTTAATTTTAAGAATAATAAAAATGTTTCGCTGGTAAAAACTGCTGTGAACTTAAGAAAATGAATAAGGTATTTTTCATTTTAGGTATTACTTACAACATACTAATACTACAGACACATACTACATATTTTTTTATTTAAATTTTATATATAATGCTGTAAATACAGCATCGTCAACAACGTTCATGAAACATCCGTAATGGAAAAAACTTCATGTACAAGTATCACTAAATTATATTTTGATTTAACATTGTAAAATAAATAATGTGAGGAAGTTGAAATATTCTTGATATCTAGATAATACCAAATTGCAGTAGATAAACCAATATAGTGCCAAATTTGTCTGAATTGAATACCATTTTCTTCCCGAACTTCTCCAGTGCACTGAATCGAAATGTATCTTAATACGACTCGATGTGTTTAAATTCCAAAAGGGGATCGCATCGGAAAACTGTTATGCATATTTTAAAGTTAAATTTACTTACAGCGGACTCACGGCGCCGAATGAGAATATCTCTCGAGAAACTTTAAAATGTTTTATGATATTCAACGGACGTGATAACGGTAAATTTGAGAATAACCCATTGGATTGAAATGAATATAAAGCGGCTGCATTTAAATTTATTGATGATATGAATAAGGCAAATTCATCACACATTTTTCAAGCGCTTGTTTCAAACGCCTGTTCATTTTGATACAGCAATATTTTCAAACGTTATATTTTAACGTGTAAATTTTCTCGACAATTCAGATGTAATAGAGCACTAGTGCTAACTATTAGTTATTTAGTATTTCTGTCTGGATACTTATTATGAATTTCTTTAAATAATGATATGTAACTTATTTTATCGTTTCTAGAATATTTCACCAATCACTAATACTAACGTAACTGTATCTCCTCATTTAAGAAATAGGTTTTTGTTATAAACACATACAGTTAATCAGTGCAAGTAATCAATAAAAAAGTTTTTGTTGGGCTAAAAACAATATAACTAATTGCCTACACCTACTTCTTTAAGTACACATTTAAACTTGCTTATAAATCAGAAGTTTGTAAATACCATAGGTATTACCTACTACTTGTAATAACAAATTATAAGGTAATAATTATGAAGATTGGTTTAGTTTTTTAAATCACTCAAGGTTTAGTATGTGACTAGCTTCACAAATTATTGGGGGCACTACACAGAACATTTAGATTCGATCCATTTTAAGCAAGGTCCTTTCCAAATTGCACCAAATGAGAATCGAATCCGGAACTTTAATTAGTCGAAATAACCATTACGCTAACGAGGTTGTCAAATATTTGAACATACCTGTAAAAAAACACAAACATCATTTTCATAGTCAGTTCAAAACGAAATCCCTTGTGAATAATGTTAATTATATAAAGCACAAAAATTAACATTTCACATCGCTAGATCGAGTTAACAAACAACGCGAATTAATTTAGCAATACCATAAAAAGAAGTGAGGAGTTCATAAAACTTTTAATAATTAAAAGTCAAATAAAATACGTGACCCTTGTGTAACAGTAGTCTAACTTATTTAGACATCCGTGGCTACAGATTCAAGGATAAAAATAAAACAAGGAAGCAATGCTGTACTTTTGCATAGGTCATAGTATGCTGGTCATTGTACAGGAGCTATTTCCTCGGATAAATCCCACGACGGAGGGTAAAAGAACTGACAACTGTCGTTAACTCATCCTGACCGGGTATTAAGGAGTGTAAACAGGGAATAGCTCGTAAAAATAATAGCTCGTCTATTTATTATCATAAAGATAAAAAGTATACTTTCTTTTGTTAGGTAGGTACGCTTTTTCCGCCCTTTTAAACGTATTTATGTTGATTCGTTTATTCACATTTACAATTTTTTTTTCATATTTACAGTGGTATATAAAAACATACATAATGTGAAAAGTATACTGCCTATCTCTTTGACATAATGTGCCAATATTACATAATGTGTAAATTGTAACAGTTAATATGTAACAATACATCCAAAATCTGCTTTAATACAAAAGATAGTGATAAGACCAAAGCGTTTGTATTTAATTGAGGTAGACTCACTATATATGTGTCTGCGTGGATATCTCTATCTTAGTATATGTATCAGATATAACAGTAATATTACAGGGTACGAAGACAGTACTTACATCTTAGTTTTCGGGTATAACAAAGCATGAGCGTCATTTAACTTCATAAAAGTTATGTGTGGGCTATGGTTGTCGCTTGCCGTCATCCTTCCTGCCTTACCAGTAACAATAAAACATTACTATAGCCTATGTAATAAAAACCTATGCAGGTTACATGGAAAGTGATAGTATTCATGAATAATTTTGCCACGAATCAAGAATTGAAATATATAAATATATTAGTACATTTATGTATTTGAGTTTCTTAAACCTTTCTCTACATTTCTTTAATACTCATTTCTTCTCATTGTATTATGAACGTTATCAGACAACCGGACACAAATGATGATCGATTTCAAGTCTCTACTAGCGAATACCTTATATCTATCATATTAAAAATTGAATAAGAAAATCAATCGTACACACAATAAAACGTTTCAAAGAATAACAGAATCATGAAATGTGTTGCCTTTGCGTCGTCTGTAGGCAATTTTCAATCTCTTTCCTATTTATGACAGTAATAAAGCGGCCGGGAAAAGTCAACAATCAATTTTGTATTTCAATTTATTCCCAACCATCCTAGTTCGTGCGGTGATAAGAAAAAGAAAAACGCGTTCATTGAAAACGGAAATTATTGCAAGAAGCCATCAGTGGTGTGCGCCGGCTTCCTACGCTGCTTTTCCTATTTTATTTTCATTATTTTTTTGTCGAACGGTCTCGCAGTTTTGATTTGTGGGCCGTCGCATCGGTCGGTGCCATTTTTCACGCGCCTCATTGTGTAGTTCACGCTCGAAGAACCAGGCTGTGGAAGGTTTGTTCGCACGTCACATCTCCCACCTTGATTTGTATATCACGCAATTTGTATGCGTTGTTCATGACATCCGCGATATTCCTGTCATTTCTATCACAGTCCATTTTTTTTCTATGTAACTGCAGTGGCTCACAAACTGATAGTCTACCTGATGGTATGGGCCTATATATATGAACAAAACTAAGGTCATCGCATTATCATCTTTCTCTCGGGATACCACTCATGTGTTGCTATTCCAGAGGACTAGGAAGACATGCCTATTATCCTGTAATTTCGCCTAATCTGACCCTATAACAAAACATAGCTAATTAGCTGCACGCAGACGACTTTCTGCAGTCTATCACTTATCACAATTATTATCTAAAAAATGTCTGATTTCATAGTTTTTACTTAATAGCTCATGATTTATTGCGTGCGGTTAGACGGTTATGTTTGTACTGGCGAAATTAAAGATGGCATCGATAACAATTCTATCAGACTGCGCTCGGCCGACAATGAGGGTGGGCGGGGAGCCGGGAAATTGGGGTGATTTTTCTCCTCTGTGCACGTCCGCTTGAAAGTAAGGACAACAACATTGTTAAAGCAAACTCTTATTTAATTTTAATATTATGATATATTTATTACTAATAGATGTAATTGTGAGTTATTAATAAATAAATACTAACGTATTGTTAATTGTTATTGTACCTAGTTAGAAGACAACATAATCGGAGGCAGATTATGTTTAAATTTTTAATACATAATCCAGCTCTGATTATGTTGTAAGTAATCAATAATATTTAGGGCGAAAAGAGTAAAGAAACTGAAAACTAACAATAGCAATGTTAATGGTTCATGCAATTCGATTAGCAGATAGATATACCCTATTAGTTCTACTTTGCCATGGTCCAAAATAATGTGATTATTTTCCGTTGCATTTGATACGATGGCATAAGAGAGACATGATGCATTCTTCAGTGATGCTTAGCTAGACTGTATTTTTTTATAATGGATGATAATGGTGCACTCTTCTACGCTAACGGTGTATGTTGATGGAGCACCAGTGAAGGATCATAAGATCAGTATGGGGTCAGGTCAGTTAGCTCATAGTGGCAATTCACCAGGTATGTGACATGATGGTTTTCAGGAGAACCCCAGGTCAATCAGACAGTTACTAGCAATGGAGTTATTAATTTACATTACTAACAATCCCATTCTCCCAAGTCAGACCTTACGTAATCAATACATCACTTTCATCCACCAATATTATTACGCATTGTAAATTGGTCAGCTATATTTAGTAATATTTTATTATTACAAAACAGAGTTTTATTTATTTATTACTTCCAGCACTAGTCGTTGATGTGGCATACACGTAGTATTTGAATAATAATAAAAACTAACTGATCTCTGTCTGTACCTGGACGATACATATGTAAAACTATTTTTTTTAACGTAATAGAAGCAAAACCAAATATTTGTCTATTTATTTGTTTGTTTGTCAGTGCGTTTTTGCGCGCTAATCTGAGATTACGACTTAACAGATTTGTGTGCGATTTTCACAAATATGTATATTGTTGTTAATTTTTCTTACAATTTATTATTTGTTTTATTTCAGTTTATAAAAAATATATATATATGTGTACAATGTCATTCTCAGCGAATAAATATAACATTTATTATTTTTCTGTATATTACAGACCAGACTTTTTATTATACGTTTTGTTTGCTATCAGTACAAAGAGCGACTGGCAGTATAAGGTGCGCTTCTGAGGTGCTATCGGCAAGTGCGACAATGGTGTGTCGGACGACATTTTTATGCCCCGATACGAGCTTTGCTCCTACATTTTGGCGGTTCCTGTCGCCAAAAGAGGACCTTTTCAAATTTCCGCTCACCTCAGCGATAGCCTATTTCATCTTTCATTGAGTATTTTATTGTACATTTTGTGGTAACGTCATTAGTATTTATGGTATTTCGATAACATCATTTACCTTCTAGCAGATTTTTTTTTTAATTTTAATGAAAAAAATATATTAAGATATACCATATATGTAATATATAGTAATTTTTTTAATGTACCTTACATTTAAAAAAATAATACAACCCAAACTTCATTACCATTTAAAGACTTTATAAAAAATCGTCTGTATGTTAGTTTTACCTATATGTATATATAGATGCCAAGCAGCTTGCTTTGTAAGCTACATTTCGCTTGTACGATGGACATTAGGAAGTGAAATTACAGGTTCATTTATTATTTCTCCAGAATTGCAACGCAGGAGTGATATTACAAACTTCACATGATGACGAGATATCTCTGGTGCTATTAATGTATGTAGGACCTCTAGCATCAGGTCGGCCGTCGGCTTACTTACCATTCCATTTACAAAAAAATACAGATGTAAGTGCAGATTTACTATTTGAATCGAATGTTCATCATATGACTGTAATATGGCTGTAAATACATTTTATGGTTCATGGTGTTTATACCTGTTTTTTATTAACTGTACTGTACCTGTATCTGTTTTTTTATTAACTGGGACACGAAAGGAATAAAGGATTTGGTTCCCTTTAATATAATCCACTCATATTAACTGAACTAAGAGTATCTTCATTACAAAATATGATTTCATTAACGGCGATTAAACTTTGAAGATAAACTCGTCAGTTCAAAATAAGAATTATATATTTTTTTCTTATCTATATAGCAAATTAAACACAGGTTTGTTTTGAACAAGGCTTTAATGAGCTACATCTTTGGTCGTATCATTGGTTAGAAGAGTACGAAACACATAAGTATTTGTACATATGTGTCACAATGTTCTACACAATCGCGCCCTTATCAGTTGGAATGAAAGATGTGTACAGTCGCCAACAGTTTTTGTACAATACACCGCATTTGGCTTACTCTCTAAGTGATAAGATTTAAAGTCACATTAGAAATGCATATAACATTTATATTACGACGACTGTACCTAATTAAATGCAGAAATAATAACGTGTCCGTAGACAATACAAATATTGATTTACATTAACCACTAAAGAAACTAATTTGAACTATTCCCAATTAAATGTATATGTACGGGTATAACACGTATTTCACAATTTACTATTTAATCAAAAATTTGATAGTCACCAATGTATGAATATAATATTCTACCTAGAGCTAATATTTACATAAATAATACAAACATCATAACAATGTTTATAGGAAACTTAACAATTAATATACAATATGTACGAAACGAAACAACAAATCATCGAATTGAGATTAAAAGTAAGTTCTCCGGTATCGACTGTATAAGGCTTAGCCAAATTATTAAATTACATCGAAAAATCCTATTAACGAACAAAGATATTATTGTTGTATAGCTATTACAATAATATTGTTAAGTAAAACAATCTTTTGAAGTCATTTCATAGACACATATATTTTTAGACTTACGTAAATATGCTATGAAAGTCAAAATCATCAAGCCTCCTCCGTAAAGTATTTTTAAAGAAGTCCAATTATATAAAAAACAATGTATTATATATACATGTATGTAAGCTGAAATGCAACACGTGTCTGAATTCTATACAGAGCACATGCACCTAGAGGTACGCTATACTTGGAATTCATAAACAAATTTATGCTAGAGAATTTTGATACTTAATTAGTCTATATTCATAAATCACCTAATTAGAGTATCTTTGCATCGTATATGATAGTTTAACGATTTTAATTAAGAATCATGTATGACGTCAATACAACTTGATCGCTTGTATGCTACGCAGATGATGATAATAAAATTTAATTAGTATTTACATTAACATTGCCATTATATTACTAAAATACACTTCATACTCCCGTCTAAACGAAAATACGGCAGTCTTATTACCAGCGTACGTAGTAACTGATCTTGAGCTATCTACACACACACAGACCTTTGACAATATCATAATAGCTATTTCGATTTAATTAAAAAGGAGTAAATATCTTTTCATTTATATAAATTTTTAAATAATTTATTTTCATCAAATACTTTACATGCAAGTATTGATGAAAGATTGTAAACAGCTCTATACAGACAATTTTTACAGAGATTACGATTATCCTATTCTAATATAGCAAAATTGCCATTCTGAGATCAACATGAGATTTTATGAACTTAATACAAAAACATTTTCCAAACATTCTATTAATTAAAATGGTAATGTAGGTTACAGATTTTCTAACTTACCCACTTAGATATTTTTGTAACAATCATACAGAGTAATTACAGTTTGGCATTTACTTTGCTTTTATAGCATTAGTGTTCAAAGACAACGTCCAATGGATTCCATTTAAGTGAGTGACACGAAACTTTTTTCACACTTTGTTCTTCAGTCCGTTTTAGTACGCCTGTTCAATTTTGATACTTGGCATACGGGTGAACCGCGTCTCATACGCGATAGTCTCAGCTAGACGCAGAAAGCCCAAGAGGCTTGAGGTGCGGGGGCGGGGCGAACGGCGCTGGAGAAGAACCTGACATATTATTGTTGAGGTCACCGGAGCGACTAGAGCCGTTCATCAAACCTCCCATTGCGTTGCTCGTCTGCGGAACAAAAAGCTTATTTAATAAAATTCTAGATAGGTCGCGTGTCAAGGGCTTAATAAAGGTATCTGTGAATTGATGCTGTTGAGCTCTTTTGATCGAGTCCGCCTTATTGCGGTCAAATTATATTAGCAAAAGTGTTAAATTCTTATACGCGACAGTTATTTAAAAGTATAAGTTTTGATTCCATATTTTATTGAACTTTTTTAGGTAGATATTAAGTTTGAAACTAACACAGGATTACGTCCCCAATATGTTTATTGCAAAAAAATGTTTATAGTAAATATTAGCGTAGTATACTCATGACAATACAATTAAAATCTTGTATTAAAAAATAGAACTTTACCGGCGGCGGGGGTAGGTGCGTAGTCTGGCGCTTGAGGTGCGCAAGTGGTGGTGGATTGTACGCCATATTTGCGAACACAAGCCGCTCCTCGTAGTCGTACTCACACAGAATCTTGTTTTCACACAAGTAGAAACGATCACCAACGCAGAACCTGTTAAATATCAATATTAGTTAGTCACGTTATAATTTATCCTATGCATAAATTTGTTATTATAGATGTATAGTATGTTTTATTCTATATCCTTAGCTAAACATATAATGAAACCTATAACTATTGATATACTTGCTACCATTTTACTAGCGGATAAACAATTTTATTTTATGCTAATCGGATTTACCTACAATATATACTAAGGAAATAAAAAAAAACTTAGATGAGTCATTTAAAACTAATAAATACATACATTGAAAAGAAATGGTTTTTCAACTTATCTAGATTCGTAATTAATCTATCCAAGAGTTGCCAATTATCCAACATGGCTGACCTGGCACTCTTTACACAGTATAATATCAAAAATTAATGCCTACGTCCATATTGACCATTTAAAATCTATCTATTACAGTGTACATGTGCTCAAGTTACTTATTCCCAAAAGCACCTACTTATACATATGAGAAATAAAAAAGATAGACAAAAACTAAAGAAAAAAGTAAACATAGGAGAACCTGATTAAAATCAGTACAGAGGAATACAGAAGCATTATCTACATCTCAACGGAAAATACGTCTATCAATGAACTAAATGACGGTACGATTTGTGAAGCCGTTTTTTAATAACAGGACAACGAAGCCAAACAGAGGTATAAAGTTTATTTGTAGTCGACAATAAAAGCGTAACTTAATGCTCACAAACCATACGTAATATTAAGCAGATTAACTACTTTTATCCAGATTCAACAACTTTAAATTTTAGTATGAAATACTGTACACATAAACATATTCCTAATAATAAACATCGACATTCACTTAATTTACATATACACACTAAAATAATTTAGGCCTTCGAAGCCGTTAAGATTCGATCTTAAGCATCATTACTCTAAAAGAAACCGCAGTAAAATGTCTAAGAAATAAAATTTAGTATCACGAGTGGAAAGGTCAAGTTGGAAGAAGGAGGTACGATAACGTCACGCGAATGCGCATCCCTCAATGTAGAAAACAAAAGGTATCGCCTTCGACTCGCCAGTGGCCGCATGGCCGCCGGAACTGTCGGTGATAACACCGACCTTATCTCCCCTCCGGCCCCCCCTCGTCTTCCCACCGCACCCCGCGTCTCCGACCACCCTGCCAACTCTTTTGTTTCACTTGTCACAAAAATTAAGCGCTACAAATGTCTCTTTTTTAAGGGGCCAATTTCCACCGCAACTCAGTCGATTTCGCCGCTCTTAATTAACTTTATTTCCTGTTCTCTACGTTGGCGACTTTTGTTTTTGGGGTTGTTCTCTTTTTATTTTTTTTTATATTTTTTGTCTGCAGACGCGTAATGGAAAAGATGTAGAACGAAATTTTAATGACTGCGCAAGTTAAGCTTTGTGCGGATCGCTATTGTGTCGCGACGATAGCGAAGCAGAGTTTGATGTTCCGCGCGTCCATTCAATGTTTTCACTCGTTTGTAAAACAAAAGCGTTTAAACAGTTAGGGGAGGGTAAGTAATTTTCTTATAAATAATTGATACTTAGGTTATGTAATAAATATATTTTTTAAAGATTTTCTTTCTAAATTTTTTTATTTTTTAAAGATATATTAAATCAAATTTTTGGTCTCTTTTTTATATACACACAGAGTCAATAAAAAATAAATAAATATGTTAAACTTGCCCAATAAATAAATATGTTAATGAAATGCGACACATTAAAAACCAATCACGTGTATGTGTTTCAGTTTCAGTATTGTTTACAATATAATTGTAAGTAGGTGGGTTGGATGCGAGCGCGTAGCCCCGGCTAGGGCGGCAACCGGCACGGAAGCCGCGGGCTCGCCACCAGATTGCCACTAAATTATTTAGCCGTTTAGCGATATTCGCCTGTGATATCTGGCCGTCCGCCACCATCGGACAGCCCGCAAATTGGATTCAGATTTCTGCCGCCCGTGGAAATTGATTTGTACGTGATATTTAATAGCATCGCATATTATTCAGTAAACATTGAAATTAATTACCTAAAAATTTGCATACCTTTTAGCAACTGAATATGTGGAATTTAGCCAATAGTTTCGTTCGGCTGTGCATATTTTGATTTCATATTTACCAGGACTATTGTATATTATACTTTTGATACATTCTTCATTAATATATAAACCTACTAGACATATAACAATAAATTTATCAAACTATAAAAACATTTATTGGAGTAAATAACGTTATTTAAAATATATATATATTGTTTTTGAAAAGAATTTGGATTTTGTTCTGCAAAAAAAGATAGGATTACTATTAATTAACAAACCTAGTATGGAAATATATCATCAACGTTGAAGTAAAATTTTAAAATAGACATTCAAACTTATATGTGTACATGGTAATTGACCAAGATAACTCATATAAATTCGTGTGAACTTTTATATATACCTATTAAGAAAATTAAAATAAGAATGTAAAATTGCAGTTAAAAGTGTATCTAAATCTGGTACAATGCCTAAAACGGTTATTCAACAGTTGAATCTGGATTCAAGGAGCAGTCGAATGAATATATAATTTGGTGAAAATGTCGCGCGAGATCTACTAACACGAGAAAGGTCCACAAGTGACATATAAACCATTCAGAGCGGCTCCAATCTTCGCGACCTTTCTATTATTTAAACGGACGCAGTCCGGTGAAGATTGCCGTTTTCGCGCTTGCATACTTATTCTGAATTCATGTTGTTTATGTTTTAAGTTTATATTTTATATTACAACTGTAACATTTTAAAAATATATTACTTGTAACTAGTCTTTAGTTACTATGAGCGTGACTGGTACATTACTTATTAAACAACATAATATTACTTGTATGCCAATTATTATGAGCATTTAGGACGATAAGATTTGAGAGTTAATAAATAAAGTTATGGATAATGTTAGTAAAAAAATAGATAATACTTTTTATTCAACGTGGGAATAAAGCCAATGTTTAAAACCCCGTAAGATACTTATTACAGAGTAACAGTAACAGATATACATACAACATAAACTTCAAAATCAGAACAATTGTTAAAGTCGTATTTAAAACAGATAATGTCAACTACTACTTCAAATGATACTTAGACATTAGACATTCAACAAGAATTATATTGCAAAAACAATAATTAAAATCACAAAACATAAAACAAATGTACTCATTCAAATCACGTCGGATTCTCTGTTGAAAGGTGAAATTTTCAACATAATTGAACGAGAATTGTTTTGCAGTATTCATGTTATGAAATTTCATTAATATAAAATGGAATTTTAACGTTGTGGCCAAGTGGTTAGTACCACAGCTTACGCCGAAAGATCAGGTTCCAGAGACTCCGAAAGGCATGCTAGTTGGTTTGATTCGATAACGAGTGAAATGTAGCTATTTCAAATGCTGTGCTCATAATTGACTATGCCTCTAATTACATCATCTGGGAGCATTTCTAAAGATATACCTATAATCTAACTTAAATGAAATGTAAAATGCTGTTAAATTCGCAAGCTACAAAACATCAGAATAGGTCTACGACGTGCTATGGCGTGTAAAGGCCCGACCGGGTGACAATCGTCGTGCATCGCGCAATTGAATTGAATAAAATAGTAATCAAAATGTGTGTAAAAGTTATGCAAACAACGTAAAATTCGGTAGTGTGACTGAAACGAACTTTACTGTACGTGTACAAAGCACACCAAACACCGCTTAGAATACATAGAAACAAAAATATTAATATTATTTAAATACTTTTCGTAGTCTTAAAATATACCTACTTAACTAAACATATATTGAGAACCAAGAATTTAATTCAAAATCTTTGTACAATTTTTCAGATTTATTAACTATCTTAGTGAATATTTATGCAATAATAGTAACAGTATGAAAAAAAGAATATTTTTTAAATATTTGATACTACAAAGGCAGTTATTTGGCTCGCAGTTGAATTATATGCTGAATTGTGACTAGATCAATTGCACCAAAACAACTCAACATAGTTTGTTGGATGCAACTACATCTATTTAAAAGGGTTATTGGCCAGCTATATCTATTAAAAAAATAATACTGGTCAAGCATTCTGTTATATAATACTTTATTTCAAGTTCATTCTATATCATTATTTCAGTATCTTTCACACGAACAACGTTTCTGGCGTTAGGGTGTTAAAATCTAATTACTTTAAGAAAGCCAACCCTTTAGACGTTTAGTTATTGTATATTGTATGTTCTTACTAACTGTGTACTAAAGAGTATATAGAATAATAGCCGAACTTGGAAGCTTGGCACTATTTATATATTTTAGGATTATTATTATAATATCTATATATTCGGTTATTATGAAATATATAGTATTATATAATAATTATGAGATTAACTTTTACGGTTGTTATATCAAGTAATTTTATACGCCATAAATCCTTCCTAAATTCTAATAAACAGTAATAATCCATTTGAAATTCCAATACATTCTCTTTGCTACACGTGGGTTTATTATGTAGCGGAAAATTTAATCGTACTCTTTTACCCTTCGTGAGATGAATAAACAATATACACTCTTGCTACACGATAGCTTTGTTTCTCTCGCTCATATGGTAGTTTTTTATTTTCCATCTTTCTCTAAGAAGAAAAGTCCCAAATCAGACTTGTATTCAATATACCAGAGTCCCCAGTCAATTTTAGCCGGCACAACCACGTCTGCGACTATTTGTAAAACGTTTGTGATAATATATGAACCTAATATCTAGTAACTGCTAGTAATGAAAATATTAAGATATTTTGTATACTATAATGTTATTACAACAATTATCTATGACAATATAGTATACAAAATATCTTAATTTTTTCAAATTGTATTTCAACATTAAAAATTTATAAAAAATATTGCCTTGGAAATATTGTAGTAGAATGTATTTGTGAGTCTGATCACTTAATCATTTAATTACTTATCTACCTACTGAAAGACAGATTAAATCATTTGTTTTAATGTGTAAGTCTAAATAGAAAATAGACTCTACATTCTTTATTTCCAAAGATTATCCTAAAGTTTTAACCAATATTGTGAATAAAATACTTTTTTTTACTGTAAATATCAAATGTTAGTCAAAATTACAAATATGTAACAGATATCTCTGAATTTATATCTAATAATTTTATTTACACACTTGCTACTTAAGTGAAACTTAACTTAGTGACCGCTAGACTACGACCCATTTGAACGAAAAACGAAAACGAAATTGCATTGATTATGTTTTTTTAGAGATTTAATTTTACATACTCGTCAATTTTACGAATTAAGCTAACCCTTAAACATATTATATTCGAAAAGTTTGCTAAGTAGATTTAAATGTTCTGCTTGGTAAAATTGATTACGCAAAACATTGATTATTTAATTCCACTCCTATTAACATGTCACGCTAATAGTAGCGGAATTAAACAAAATAATACAAATCCTTTAATACAAATTAAGTAATAAAATAGACTGGAATGGATAAAATATATAAACAAATACTATTGGCGAAGATTATTAATTGGCATAGGACAACTTGATATGATAAGTAACATGTAAAATTATACCGTTAATCTTCCTAAATAAACAAATAAATGCGAAATAAGTATGTTTAGGTACTGACCTGTGATTGCACTGTTGACAAGCGAAGCATTCGAGATGGTAGACATTACTTCGAGCTCTCATCACCATCTCAAATGCTGGGATGACCTTATTACACGCTGCGCAGTATCCAGTGTTACCAAATAACCTAGTGAACACAAAATATAGTTATTACAATAATAAATACTAATCGTAAAAATATTAATATAAATTACTGACTAATTGTCCGGAAAATGTCTATAACAATCCAAATTATACCATAAATAAACATAGTGAAATACACAATAAGTATTAAAAATTTCAATAATTTTCTCCTTTTGTCTGAGATTACAGAAAATATAACATTGCTACTAACAGTATTTTGCTTAGAATCAAATCATCATGCAATATTTTAAAATCTTTTTAACTCATCATTCGATCACCCTGGTACGAGTTTAGGACCTTTAACTTTAATTGTTTACTTAATAAAATATAGTAGATACATGTATTATTATGAAATACTTAAATGGTCACTAAATTAAACGAGTATGCTGCTTTAAACTTCTTCCAATACTTTTATGTAACTAAAACTGCATACATTTTGAGAGCCCACCTGATGGTAGGTGGTAACCGTTGCCTAATTATAATATAGCACAACGAACATTACGTGACCTATTACCCCTTGTGTATTGCCATTTTGGACGAATAAAGTTTTATACCTCCGTACCCTACAATTTCTCTGCACTATTACATTCAACACGTTTTCATTCTTCAATTTTTTTTTTCTTTCATGTTTTTTACAATTGTACCTGCATTTTCTGTAAAATAGATATTTATGAAATGTTGCGAGCTCTTTATAAGCTAACATCTTCAGTGGACAGTCGACCCGTGACCACGACGTATTAACATAATAAATATCTCGTTTATATAATGTGTTCAATTCTTTTTTTCTTTTTCTAGTACTATTATTATACCAAACAAGTGAGCAATAAAAAAATATTCTATTCTTTTCTAACCTTAAATAGTCTCGTTTGCAGAGTATGAGATTGGCGCGTGTGTAGAGGGTATGTCCAACCTCGCCCAGGCGACAATCACAGCAGCCACACTTAAGGCAGTCTTCATGCCACAACTGATCCAAAGCTTTCAGAAGGTATCGCTCCGTGATAACTTTACTGCAGCCGGCACATATCTGTAACAATTTGTAATATAAAACATAAAACTCTCTAAAGGTTTTCTCTATTCCAACTTCTTTTATGCACCTGGAATAGCAATCTCATAATTTCCTAATTTTAAGTTGTAACTTTCGGGCTAGATTCATATTATAGAATATACTGTCATGCTTATTTTGAAGTCTATCCGAATGTTCAAATACGAAAGAAACTAGATACAATTTCGTGATTTTGTAAAACTCAGATTGTCAGTTGTAATAAAAATTGTTTGTAGCTGCATAGTGACTGGTCAACATAATAAAAGTTAAAAATATTTCGTTCGTACCAAATAAAAACTCTGTATCGAACGAATCCATTAAATGTCCTAGTAATAAACGGATTTTTCATTTCGTACTGCATATGTTCTGTTTCGAAAAATGGAATAAATTTTATTGTTATATACAAGTTGAAGTTAATAAAGGAATTGCTTTAAGTTAATAATTATCCATACAGTACGATATATACATATACTTACGACTGTTAACCCAGACAGAGTAGTCAGAAGCATTTTTTGATGTCGACGTCGTAATTAACGCAATACATACATAGTGGTGGTTAGGAGGCGAGCATATTTTTATCAAGCCCTCATCAGCTTGTTTGTTATTTCAGTACTTAAAAAAAACTTCTACACTACCTGTGGCTGCTGTTGCGGTTGTGCAGGCGTTGAGGAGGGTGGCTGCGCAGACGCAGGCAGCGGCGATGCGCGAGCCTCCTTGGTCACATCCATGGCCAGCATATGCGCACCCAGCCCTGGACTGCCGCCGCTCGCCTGCTGCGGCGTTCGCCTCTCGCACTGTACGCCAAGAAAAAGTAACTTATACTAAGGAAATCTCTAAAATCTATTACAAATATGTTTTTAACATTTATCAAAAAAGTCAGCAGTATTTTAAGTGTAATTCGTAATAAAATTAACATAAATTAATAATCTTCAATTTTTAAAAATATCTAAAAATGCATAAAAGTCATCTTCATTCAAATAAACATAATATAAGCAGTTTTGAATAGACATATTTTTTTATTGTAGGTACATTCAGAAAACAGGCTTATCACAAAAAGAACGAAATTTAAATGTTGTTTAGTTTTTTTAAGATTAGTATTTTAATGTATTTAGCTATATTTATTATTCTAATAAAGCCAGACAAATAAATTTGCTAGTTAAATTTATTATTAAGTATCGATAAACGAACGTATAAGCAAGTAATCCTAATGAAATCGTGTGGTACTGGTATTGTTCAGATAGTGCATATAATCGTCCACTCAATCACCATAAGTTACAGTAATCGACTCAGAACAGTGCGACAACTCATAGAGGCCGGTTTATGTTACGGCATAAAATCCAGTACCATGAAATTTGCCGCCCGTAATATTTCTCGAAAAAATTAGCACAACTACTCAAGCGATTAATGAGAACGTGAAACACGACCCGCCGTTCCAAACTATAGCAAATTATGTACCTAAATATCAAATAAATAGCAAATAAAAAAGTTGGTAATTGAGATCGTGTCGGGAAAAAACGACCTGTGAGCAATAAAGTCAAGCACGGAGCGGACCAACGTCACGCTTAATTAATATTTTAAATCCAAACATTTTTCAATTAAATTTGGCAACTACCAGCTCGTGGGGGCGCTCCCAACTGATTTGTACTGTTCGACCTTTCTACTAATATTTTGTACACGTCGAATTCGTTCGGTGGTGAAATGAAATCCGTATTAAATTGCGGGTGGCGAGAAACAATGCTAGCCATTGTAGTGTTGTGACGAATCGTTGCCGTCTCTCATTTTTGTGTATTTTTGAGTGCGCGTCCGTTTGACCGGCCATAAATAATAGGATACGGATATTGGCCGGAAGTATGCACCGATCGACAAATTGTGTCAATGATTGTTTGTTTAATCTAGAGAGGAAGTTAATCAACTGTGTTGTGCCTTGCTTGAACCTAGAATAGAAGCGGAGTACGTACACCGTACAGCATAACGAATCACTTAATTGCGTTTTATTGTAACTATAGTTTATTTCTGTTTATAATGTATTTTTAATCCAATACATATTTGTGTCATACCGCTCATGTTTCATTGCAACGCGTGTATGAAACTGCTAATTAGCGATAATAATACCTTAATGAGTGATAATAAATCACAGCCGTAGCAACCCTTTGTGTAATTAATTCTTCATGTTAAACATTTTGGGAAACGATGTATAGCGTTAAAACACATAAAAATTCACGATACCCTTCCATGATCACTAATTGAACAAAAATTTTGGTATGCCGTATGAAACGTTATTGACTTTTCACCAATTAATAACGATGTTTTCTGTAAACAAATATTTTTCAAAGTGATTTTATCATTTTATAGTGACGGATTAATAAAAAAGTGATATTATGTACTTTGAGTTTGCAACCCAGGACATCTAAAATAACAAGATAGAGATCTCTGCGATTTTATTACTTATTAGTATCCTACAAATCGAAATACAATAACATACGTATTCTAGATACGAGACAAGAACTGATAAAATAGTATTTAAATTATCTATCCAGATGAAGACAAACAAAACTGACATCCAGTAATCATTCAAAAAATTATTTTTAACTATTTCTAATCCATTTTTAGTAACAAACTAGACGTCGTATGATTGAATCATCGTTGAGTAAATAAGTGCCAACCACAATGGAGTCAATAGCCCAGTACGGCACGTTCGCGCTTTCGGTGCGACATTTTTTCAAAGTGGACAGCCCGTGAAGTGAGCCTTCGTGAATAATTACAGATCGGTGACAGTAACATGCCACGGCACTCGGAAAACAACCCGTAGCGAATGCAACCAACCGAGATTAGACGCAGTCGAAGCAAAAAAAGCTCACGCCTTCCATTAACGCTGACTTTCGAAATGTCAATACGCACGAATTAGGATTTAACGAACGTCAACCGACACAACGAGAATAAAACTATGCGAAAGTTAATTTTGCACTGTTCACACTTCAGGACTGTTAAATTCCATATATATGTTTCATGGAATTAAAGAAATTATTATAAAATTTGCAATAATAACATGTAAACTCTTATTGATAACATATATTGAAACAAAATTTTAAAAAAAGCATTCTGTGGATGATTCCAAAACGTGTATCTTTCAGTCGTAATGAAAAAATAAACCTATACATTGGATTCAAATTTGAGCATGAAATTGGAGTAGTGGGGTACAATATAGGGTCACTTGGGGGTCAACATCCAGTGATCCAAAGACCGCACTTGCGCTAATAATTAACATAGATGCGACCCGAGACTAATTATGTGGTACCACCACCACCAAATTAGAAACTATTTTCGCCCATTAGTGGCCAACTTCATAATCAATTACACGTTAAAATTTCACAGCGGTGTTTCGAGTACTCTGTTTGGATAATCGGAGTTTGTGGTCCCACGGCGAGCTATTACGTGCCACAGTACGGGCCATAAAGGTTTTTGTTGGACTGTCGGAAAATTTTAATGCATGTTTGTTTTGAATGCATTTCAGTTCACGTTGTTATATACCTAGTCACTACAACACATGCAACGGGTTTCTAATTTCTAATTAAAATTTTTGTTTAAAAATATGTTATAAACAAAAACTTGAACATGCAATATCTACTTTTGTTCGTTATATTCCTTCAAATTATACTTTGCAACCTAGTAATAAAATAAATTAATAAATAAAATGGGTTGATGACACTTACCACATATCAAATAACTTTTGATCAAAAATAAGACACATAATTAAGTTAACCTACAATGTGAAACTATAGATCTTGCCATGGCCAACGCCGACACATATCAAAACTCAGGATTTATTCCATCGTATTGAGTTTAGCCTTATTAATAATTACTTTTTTATTAATGCGAAAGTGACTTGATATATCCTTTTATTTACTACAATTGACAGGTAATCTTTTACGATGTCACGCTACAATACACTATGAACAATGTTGGTAAAATAATATCATCTAAAATTAAATATCCCAAAATACACAAAGTAATATCTTAAATAGAAGAAAGTGAGTCCTTGGTGAAGATAATAATAGTATCCTAACTTAATTATGGGCAATCCAATCAAAAAATCAACTCTACGAATGTTACTCCCCACGAAAACAAAGCAAATCTTCAGGAACATTTAGAGGCAGACTACACTAATAGGATTGAGTGCACTCCGCTAATCATAATTCATCAGCGAGATTAAAGAATAAGCGACGCCGTCAGGGGGGGGGGGGGGGAGTGCGGCGCTTCCTCCTACTCAATGTGGGAGAGACAATATGATTGCCACACCTGCGGAAACGACGGCTAAAGTAACGAGACGAGAGGCTAAATAATTCAAACCACTACAATTAACATGAACGTTGCTCCACATTACTTTTTAACGCCTAACGTATAATATAACACGTATGCATTAATTGTTTGTTTCGAGCTTCATTTTGATTTAACGCATAATTAACCGCCCATGTTATGCATCAAACGGTAGATGAGTATACTTTAATTAAAAATCATAATTAAGTTTTATGCTATACACACCTTAATTTACCGCAATAATTAAAAATATAATTGTATGCGACTCAGCAGTATAAATAAAGACTTTTAATATTGTTCGCGAGATTGTAGAATGTTAAGTGCAGTTCATTGTAAGCACTGTAAGTATAATTATGCCATCAACTAGTGTGACGTCATCAATTCATGCCTTACTGTTTACTCAGTATAGTATGCTCAGCACAATGTCAACTGTAGTAGAGACTACCTACCAGTTAACTTTGAAATTTCTTATATTTCACAGCCTCAATTATACTATAATTATATCTATCAATAAACCGGGTAGGTTTATTTTCAGTTTAAATTTCATACATGGGTAAATTATATCATATCTACTTTATATATTGTAAACATACTATATATACTTCTTGGGTATAACTAAAATAAAAATTGTTCAAAAGCCTCGAAAGTGAAATACGTGGAGTAACTTACCAATACCTAAGAAAACTTATAAGTTTTTCATCAATAGGCCTCTAGAACGGAGACTACTAGTTACTAACGCCCAGAATATTGGAAATAAATTGCATTGTACTGGAAATCAAGTGAAGGGAATCCAACACAAAGCGTATTAGTTTATGAATTCTTCTGACATAAGTAGAGCCACCAGTCATGCGAGGCGGTCGTACCTACACTTATTTAGCAGATTGCTTTCCTTTAAGTTCTTCTTTAATCTAGCAATGGCCGGCGCGAGCGACGTCCGCGTGTGTTACCCACAATAATTGGGTAAGTCCCCTAGACAGATTACCAATAACCACTAGAAACCACAATATTATAATTGTAATAATGAAAAATTTTAACTAAAATAATTTAATCTTATTTTAAATTCAAACAAATATACCTAGATAGTACAACCATTTGTACTATCTAGGTATATTTATCAAACTTTTTATTTGTTTAAAAGACTTATTGTCTGTGTAACACCATGTAATATTATCTTATCTCTGGTAACAATAAACACTAGTATACTCTTAGATTTTTTTCTATTTGTATTCATTGTATTCTAGCGAAATAAAGAAAAAAAACATATTTTGGCTTTTTTTAGTCTTAAAAGTAATATAATTTAATTCATAATCGTTTTTTATATTTTTTGTTTTAAGGTGTAAATGCCTAATATTTGCGCATTAGTAAATTCATTAAATACATAAAAACCAATTTTGCCTACTAACGTGTGGGTTATATCTACCAGATTTAGTGGTGAAAACAGTAAGGCGGCAACACTACGCGGCGCTTTACATTCGCACCC